CCTCGCTGACCGTTTTGGCTTGCCTCGCAGGTCTCCGCGACCTCGGCACCCCTTGCGTCTTCGCTGCTCCGCGTGCCCCCTCTCGCCATCGCTCGGCCGTCTATTCCGTGTTTTTTTCGGTTTCGTGCGTGGTTTTTGTTCGCCAAATGACCAAGGATGCTCCTCGATGGTCCTCGCCGAAGGAAACATGCACACGTCCGAGCGATGCCGAGCCCTTGCTTCCAGCCCGCGCTGGGCACCTGCTTCCCCTGGGCGCCTGCCGATCGGGCCGCCGCCTGGCCTGCCTGCCCCCCCCCGCCGCCCTGGCGCTGCGGCCCCCCGGCCCCAGCGCCCCCCCCCTCCGCCGCCTGGCCCCGCTCTGAGCGGGCTCGGCTTCCGTCTCCCTCCTCCTCCTCCTCCTTCTCCTCCTCCTCCTCCTCCTTGTCCTCCTCCCCCTCCCCCTCCTCCTCCTCCTCCTCCTCCTCCTCCTCCTCCTCCTCCTCCTCCTCCTCCTCATCGTCCTCCTCCTCCTCCTCCTCCTCCTTCTCCTCCTCCGTCTCTCTCCTGCCCGCGCCGGGCTTCCCTCCCCCCCTGGGCATGGGGGCTTCCTCCGCGTTCTGTGTGCCCCCCTTAACGCTTCGTCGCCAACGCAGCGACCCTGCCTGGCCGCCGACGCAAAAAAGTGCGTGCAGTGCATCTGTGCATCTTCGGAGGCCTCCAGAATCCTCTGGACGACGTCAGTCGTCGTCGTCGTCGTCGTCGTCGTCGTCGTCGTCGTCGTCGTCGTCGTCGTCGTCGTCGTCGTCGTCGTGGTGGTGGTGGTGGTGGTGGTGGTGGTGGTGGTGGTGGTGGTGGTGTCGTCGTCGCCATTGCCGTTGCCGTCGTCGTCGTCGTCGTCGTCATCGTCGTCGTCGTCGTCGTCGTCGTCATCCTCGTCGTCGTCGTCGTCGACGTCGTCCTCGTCGTAGTCATCCCAAACCACTCCCAACCCCGCCGTTACAGGGGCTCCTCCCCCACCCTACGCGGGCGCAAATCCTGACGTTGTTGGGCCCATCCGCCCGCCCCCCTGGTAACGGACGCAATCGACAGAGAACGCGAAATTAAGTACAGTATTCGTTGTCCGACGCGAAAACATCCGAAGGCCTGTGGTGTCCTAGGCGGGAGGGGAGAAGGGAACAGGAAGAAGGGCAGAAGAGAAGAGTAAGAAGAGGAGAAACAAAAGAAGATGAGGACGACGACGACGAAGAAGCGGAGGAGTCGGAAATGGGGGAGGGAGATGGGATGATCGAGAAGGGGAGGAGGGAGAGGGAGAAGTGGAGGGGGGAGATGTGTATGACGGAGGAGGGAGGGCGGCGGACAGATGACGGACGAGGGAAGACGGCGATAGGGAGAGGGAGTACGGAGAAGGGAAGGAGCAGGAGGGAGAAGAAGGGGAAGGAAAGGTGGGAGCAGCAGCAGCAGCAAGATGAGGACGATGATCTCATCCACCACGTGATCGACTCCAGAAACCCCGAGTAACGCGGCGCCGACACCTCCTGTGGAATCTGCACGTGTACTTCCACTGGCTTCCGCCGAGAGCTTCCGTCGGCGAAGGCGCCAGGCGCTCTACCTCCGCTGGCTTCTGCCGACTCCCCACTGGCTTCCGCTGGGGACGAGATGCCAACTTCTCAATCTCTCGAAGGCGAGGCTCATTCGTTTTTTTTTTTGTTTTGTTTTGTTCTTTCCTCGCGACCCAGCCCGCATACCCGCGCACTCACGGGCAGCGCGCGGTCTTGCGACGGCTGGGAGAGGGCATGCTGCTCGTGCCTGGCGGTACGTCCGCCGCGCCGGGCGAACGGCAGCAGGTCGCAGTCGGAACGCTCCGTGCGCCACGTGCCCAAGCGCCTACGTCGAGCCTGCCATGCCATGCCGTGCGACCAGGTGGCTCATATCGCCCCCCATTCCTTGATCCTCTTTTCTTTCAAACGACTCCCCCTCGGTGGGGATGGGTGCCGTCCTGCGCGGGTTTCGCGGCACCCATTCCCACCTAGCCGCGAGAGCTAACTTGTCCTGTCCCGGTTGGGTGGGAATGGCTCTGACGATGACGAGCAAGGCGAAAAGTCCCAGGCGAAGTGCCAAGCCTGCTTGGCCGACACGTCTGGTGGTGCGACCAGGAGTGGGGATTGAGGGGCAAGGGAGCGATCCTTCATCCTCCTGCAGTTCCTGGGGGGACCCACCCTGGGCCAGCACAGCAGGAGGCCATCGGGTGGCTGCACACCGAAACCTCTTCTTTCTCCTTTCGGGCTACACACCGACAAAGACAAGCAAGGTAGACAAGGGGAGGGGGCGGAGGAGGAAACCACACGGCGTCTGCGAGCATCCGCCGTTGTGCGCGAGCACGCTGATATTCTGCAGGTGTATATTATTAATCGGAATGAGGGGCCGAACGGTCATTCACTGTCCCTGGGAGCGTGGCTGAAGTGAGGATCTGCGGTGCGGATTGTTGAACTCTCACTTCTGAAGAACAATTGTTTAGTGATTCCCCCGCCCAATGCAGATTGTTTTTTCGATTGAAGTGCCCCTCCTGGAGCTCGCACACTGTTTTTTAGCAGGGAAAATCTTGAAACTCAAACTGTATCGTTCGCCCCCGGTTTACAACAACAGGAACAACAACGGCTCCCACCTGATACTTCCTCACAATGGATTGAAGAATCGCGCTCTCGCTTGGGATTTCTTGGCAATTCACCACCGAATCGCGGCTCCCGCTTGATACTTTTGGACACTTCACTGCAGAAACGCGTTCTCGCTTGGGACGTCCTTGCAACTTACCACCGAAACGGTTCGCTGTATATTTCCTTACAATCTATTCAAATGCCGGTCCTCGACACTCAGGAATCGCGCTCCCGCTACATATTGCCTGGCGGTTCAAGCAGGGCTCACGCTTCAACGACCCGCCCGCTCGACCCGCCCGTCGGAGCCTGCCCGCCTGACCAGCCTGTTAATGACTGCAGTCGCCGCTCGCTGCCTTCGCCCGCCTTCGATGCCCCTCGCTGCCCGTGCTGGTTCCGCGGTCGCCTTCGCTCGCTGCCATTCGGGGCCCCGTTGCTGCCCTCAGTGGCTCCGTCGCTGCCCGTTGTGGCCCCGCATTATATGCCCTTCGTGGCCCCCGCTCGCACGCGCCCGTCGTGGCCCCATACGCATGCCCTTCGTGGCCCCGCTGTCGCCCTTCGTGGCCCCCTCGCTGCCCTTCGTGGCCCCTTTGCTGCCCTCACTGGCCCCGCTGTCGCCTTTTGTGGCCCCCGTCGTGGCCCAATAAGCATGCCCTTCGTGGCCCCGCTGTCGCCCTTCGTGGCCCCCTCGCTGCCCTTCGTGGCCCCGGTGCTGCCCTCAGCGGCCCCGTCGCTGCCCTCTGTGGCCTCGGACTTGATGCCCTTCGTGGCCCACGCTGGCTTCTCTCACGATTTACTTAGGTATCGCGCTATCGCTCGGGACTTCCTCGCGATTCATGCAGGACCTACGCTTCAGCACCCCGCCTGCTCGACCTCGTCGCCAGGGCTCGCCTTCCCGACCTGCCCGTTATGGGTCTGCCCACCCGATCTGCCCGTTTGTACCATTTGTTTTCTGCTCCTTGCCCCCCTCCTGCTAGTTTCTCTCGTGCTCCATTCTTCTCCCTCCCCCTTCCACCCGTCCTCCCTTCCCTTGTTTTAGGGGCTGCACTAAATACGCGTGGCAGGTAAGGAAGATATACCCCCAGGGGGCACGATCGAAGACGACAAGGGCGGGTACCGAGGGTTTGGGATATACGTAGCGATTAGCACGTGAGCACGTAGGAGCGAACAGTCTCAAACTTATTGTTGTGCTTGTTGCTGCTTTGTTGTTGTGTTGTGTTGTTGTTGCTGCTGTGATTGTTGTTGTTGTTGCTGCTGCTGCTATTGGTGTTGAGCTCGCACTACTGAATAATAGTTATTGCTGATCCCCCCCTCCAATGCACATTGTTTTTTCAATTGAAGTGCCCCTCCCGGCGCTCGCACCCTGCTTTTCATCAGGGAAGTCTTCATCCTCAAACTGCGCTGCTGGCCCCAGGTTACAACAACAATGGTTCCCGCCTAAGGCTTCCTCATAATTTAGCCAGGACTCCTGCTCCCGCCCGAGACTTTCTCGCATTGTATTGAGGAATCGCGCTCTCGCTTGGGACTTCCTTGCAATTTATTCAGGAATCGCTCTCTCGGCGCTCTGGAGCCGCGCTCTCGCTGGAGACTTGCTTGGAATTATACTCAAGAGTAGCGCCATTGCGTTGGAAGCTCCCGCAATATACTCAAGCGCCGCGCTCCCGACATTCAGGCACCCAGGAGCCGCGCTCACGCTTAGGAATCGGGATCTCGCTGCCCTTCGTGGCCCCGTTGCAGCCCTTCGTGGCACCATCGCTTCCCTTCATGGACCCGTTGCAGCCCTTCGTGGCCCCCTCGTTGCCCTTGGTGGCCCCGTTGCAGCCCCTCGTGGCCCCCTCGCTGCCCTTCGTGGCCACGTTGCAGCCCTTCCTGGCCCCCTAGCTGCCCTCCGCGGCCCCGTTGCAGCCCTTCGTAGCCCCCTCGCTGCCCTTCGTGGCCCCGTTGCAACCCTTCGTGGCCGGTCCCCTGTCCGTCCCTCTTGGGGTCGGGTTGCCGCCGATCAGCGCTGCCGCTGGCCAGGCCGACGGTCCGCGGCCGCCCCGCCGCTTGCTGGGGCCCGGCCTGCAGGGAAGAAAGGTATACCCCCCAAAGGGGTACGATCGAAGACGAAGAGGGCGGGTATCGAGGGTTTGGGAAATACGCGATAACGGATACGCGGCATACGACGAAAATTTGTCGCCGCACAAGGCTCAGATGACCAGGCACGTAAATCAGCAAGTAGACTGTTCTGCTATGTGGCGGGCCCCACCACCGCTATCTGTAGCAGACATCCAGAGCGGCCCATGCAAGCCAAGTCAAATAACCCTGGCGCATCCTGTCATAATCGTTGCATGCGCACATGAACCCAGCTCTCTGACCTTCCCTCCATCGGACCTGGTGCACAGCTGCTCGAAGCCAACCTCGTTCGAACTCTGCCCAACCTCATCAGGGATGAAAGCCTGCTGCCCCTTCCTCGCAGCCTCCGCCCTTGCGGCGTAGGCGGCGGACTCGTCCTTGCCAGGGGACAAACGATTACACTAGCAAGGACGCTGGAGGTGGAGATGATGACGACGACAACAATTTTGTATACATGTGATACCACACATTGCTTTGGCCTTTGATTGCTTCTCCCTCTGCCTTGTACCCGCCCGCCATGTCCATCAACCAACCCGTAGTTTAGGGGGTCTTTTATACCAGCTGCTGGGAGAAGCGTTCAGCAATGCACTCTGTATGCGCGTCACGCCGCAACGGCCGTCATGCGATGACGGGAAGAGCGAGGTACGAGTGATGACGTTCTGATGGGGCGAAGCCCTCTAGGTAGGGGTCCAAGGGAGAGGCGTAAACGGGGCGTAACACACCCTCCCCCTCTCCAAGACGGCCCAAGAGGCGCCCAAGACGGCCCCAGACGCGCCCAAGACGAACCCATAGAGGTCCAAGAGGGTTCCAAGACGGCCCAAGAGCGCTCCGAGAGAGCCCAAGTCCGCCCAATAGCGTTCGAAGGTTGCCTCGGATGGCCTCAAGACGATCTCAAAGGATCCCACGACGCTCCCAGAGGACCCCAAGAGGACCCCCGAGAGGGCCTGAGGAGGTCACAAACATTGATTGTCCGAAGGATTTTATGTATTCCCACTTTCTCGGGTCAAGAAGGGCCCAGGACGGCCCAGGAGGCCCCCCAAATCGTTCCAAGATGGCCCAAGAGGCCCCCAAGAGGGCCCCAAGGCGCCCGAAGGGAGCCCGAAGAGGGCCCAAGAAAGCTCCAAGAGGGGTCCAGAGGGCTCCTGGAGGCTCCCAAGAGCCCCAAGTGAGTCTCAGTGGCTCCCAAGAGGGCCCCACGAGGCCCCAAGGAAAGCCCCAAGACGGCCAGAGCCCTCCAAGACGCTCCGCGACGGTCCAAAAGGGCCCCAGGACGGCCCAAGAGGGCCCAACACTGCCCCACCAGGACCTAGAGGAGGCCACACACATTGATGTTCCACATTGTACTTGTTGATACGATTCTATCATCATCCTCATTATCATCATAATCATGACTGCAGTTCTTATGATGATGGTTGTTATCTTTGTTCGTAGTCTGTATGCATGTATGTATGTCTGTATGTCTGTCTGCCTGGCTGTCTGTCTGTCCGTATGTATGTGTGTACGCGTGCACGTATATATGTATGTATGCAGGGGTATCATGGCATGGTATGGCATGCCATGCTATGCCATGGTATAGCACGTATGTGTACATGTATGCATGTATGCATGCATGCAAGAATGCCTGTATGTATGTGTGTATATATGTATGTGTGTCTGCGAGTGAACGCATGCATGCATGCATGTGTGTAGGTATGTCGGTTTGTGTCTACCTATATATATATATATGCGTACATAATATACATGTAAACAAGTATACATGCATGTAGGTATGAATGTCGGTATGCATGCATGGGTTTGTGGGTATGTAGGTATCCATGCATGCATGCATGTATGTATTTGTGCGCCTGCCTGCATGCACGGATGCACGCATGTATGTATGCGTGTGCGTGTGCGTGTATGTACGTGTGTATGCATATGTATATGGATACATGTATGTATGTAGGCGTGTAGGTTTGTGTTTATATACACGTAAGTATGTATGTACGTCTGCTTGTGCATGTACGCATACATATGTGTATATTCATGCATGTATGCATGCATATGTGTATGTATGCATGCATGTATGTGTAGGTACGTTTAGATGCATGCATGTCTGCATGTATGTCTGTATATGCATGTATGCATGCATGTATGCATGTAGGCATGCATGTGCGTGTATGTAGGCGTGTATATATGTATGTACGTACGTATTCATGGATGCATTCGTGTATGTGTGTAGGTACGTACGCACGTGCATACATATGTATGTATAGATGTATGTGTGCATGTCGCATGTCGCATGCAGGTATGGATGAATACATGCATGTATGCATGTATGCACGCATGTGTGTATGGACATATGTATGTGTGTGTGTGTATGTGTACATGTGTGTATGTGTGTATGCGCGTATGTGTGTATGTGTGTGGACACACAATGCACATCCATATATATATATATATATATCTATATATATATATAGATGTATATATATATATTCATGTATGTATGTATGCATGCATGCATGCATGCATGTATGTATGTATGTATGTATGTATGTGTGTATGTATGTGTGTATGTGTGTTTGTGTGCCCCCCTTTGTTAATTAAAACTGTGCGCGGTCAGCTTAGCTTCGACCGGAAGAGGTGCGCTCTCGACCCGCGGATCAAAAAAGCGTTTGTGTGTAAATCAAAGTTGTTGGGATTATCGCCGTTTCGTGCTGCCGACGGCCCCGGGCTGCCCAAGAGGCCACCAAGATCGTGCCAAGATGGCCCACGAGGCCCCCAAGAGGGCCCCAAGGTGCCCCAGTAGGCCCCCAGACGGCCCCAGAGGGCCCTAGAGACGGCCCAAGAGGGCCCCTAGAGGCTCCCGAGAGAGCTCCGAGTCGTTCCCAACTGGCTCCCAAGTGGCCCCAAGGAAAGCCCCAAGACGGCCAAAGCCCTCCAAGACGGCCCAAGACGGCCTAGAAAGGCCCCAGGACTGCCCAAGAGGGCCCGAAAAGGGTCCCACAGGGCCCCAACAGGACCCCCTAAGAAGGCCCCGAGACGCCAAGATTGTAACACTGGGGCTCCCCAGAGCGAGCGGTGACGTCAACAACTTTTAGCACCAGGGTTCCGAAGAGGGAGTGGTGCCGTAAAGCGCTCTGAACACCAAGGCTCCCAAGAGCCAATAGTGACGTCACAAGTTCTTAACACCAAGGCTCCCAAGAGCGAACGATAACGTTACAAGCTCCGAGCACCAAAGCTCCAGAGAGCGAGCGGCGACGTTAAAAGCTCTGAACACCAAGGCTCCAAGGAGCCCATAGTGACATGACCAGCTCGGAACACCACGGCTCCCAAGGGCGAACGGTGACGTCAAAAGCTCTGAACACCAAGGCTCCCAAGAGCCCATAATGACGTGACACGCTCTGAACACCAAGGCTCCCAAGAGTGAACACTAACGTAAAAAGCTCTGAACACCAAGGCTCCCAACAGCGAGCGGTGATACAAAACACTCTTGACAACAAGGCTCACAAGAACCAACGGTGCCATGAGCCGCCCAGAGACGCCAAATCAAAGAGCGATCGGCAACGTAAAACGCTCAGAATACCAAGGCTCCCAAAAGCGAGCCGTGCCATGAACGATCTGAGGCACGTTTCTGCAGCGCTCTTTCCGTTCCCGTGCTGGCCCAGGTCGTACACGCCCTCGGGCAGTTCACCAACTGGACTGATGCTGATGTGCGAGGACGTCTCGGGCGAGGGCGCCATTCCCGAGTTTCGGGGCCTCTCTGGCCAGGGCGTCTCGGGAGTAAACAGGAAGGATATGTATTGGGCGGGAGCCGTTGTCGTCGCAGCTGGGCCGTCACCGACTTGAGTGATTTACGGGTAACTCTTGGGCGAGAACATCACTCCTGAGCTCGAGGGCCTCTCTCTGACCAGGGAATCTCGAGTAAACTGTCGAAAGTATCGAGCGGGGGCCATTGTCGTCGCACATGAGCCTTCACTATCTTGACGGAACTGCGAGGACGTCTCGAGCGAGGACACCGTTCCCGAGTCTGGGGGCCTCTCTGGCCAGAGCGTCTCGAAACAATAATTGCGGGGACGTATCGAGCGGTTGCCGTTTTCGTCGCGGCTGGGGCTTCACTAGCTTCACTGAGTTGTGAAGGAGTCTCGAGCGAGAGCGCCCTTCCTGAGTTTGGGGGCCTCTCCAGGGTCTAATTAAATTGCGAGGAAGTCTCACATCGAGCGGGAGCCGTTGTCGTCGTAGATGGGGCTTCAACGACTGGGATTTGGAACCAAGCCTGGTCTCTAGCGAGAACCTCGCTTGCAGAGAAAATGTAGCCAGCGCCGAGGCGGCAGCGCGCGGAAGCCGTTTCCATAGATCAGCGGCAGCTGTATTCTGGAAGTGGACACGGAACGATGACTGCACACGAGCGACACCCACCGACCCCTCCCGCCAAAAATAATCAACCGACGCTAATCCGCCTGTGGGACTCCAGAGCCAACACTCGCTGTGTGTGCATGCTGCCAATGGTTCACCACATTGCCCTGACGAGGCTCTGCAGGCAGAATCGTTGACACGAACACTGGAAAGGCAAGGTCTTGACAGCGCCCTGCGAGCTCGGTGTTAGGGGAAAGGGGAGGGGTGGGCAGTGACAGGGGGAGAGGGAGGCGCAGGAGGAGGAAATGGAGGGGTATCAGAAGAGCGAGGCAAAAAAGAAAGAGAGAAAGAGAGAGAGGGGGGAAGGATGAAGACAGGTGCCCACCCGTCCTCTCGACCTCTTCCACGGGGCCACGTTTCCATTCCGAGCCGTTTTCTGATGGCCGGGCCCGAAACGGCCGGCCCCCCCAGAGGCTCAAAACGGCGACACTCTGGCCGTCTCGACTTCCGATCGACAGGAGGAGGGCCCCTGCCGCTTCGCCCCTGTGGGGAGGCACCGTCCTGCAGCGCCAGCCTCCCGACAACGCCGCGAACACGCGCCGGCCGCGTCCAGGATCCACCCCGCGCGGGCGGGCGCTGCACCAGCAGCAGCCGCGGTGCCAGCGCACCGACGGAGAGCGCTGCGCACGCGGCCACGGCGAGGCCTCCCGGGCCAGTGCGCGGCAGCAAGATGGCGAGGAGGGGAGCCGCCTACGCAAGGCCGATGCACCGTGAGGCCGCCTGCGTGAGGCCAGCTGCGCAAGGCCGCCTCCGTAAGGCCGTTAGGCCGGAGGCCGACGACCCTGGCAAGGCCACACTTGAAGGTACTCTTGTCCGCTGAAGGCAACGCAGTACAAAGCAAAGCAAAGGAATGCAGAGCGGCTCCGTGCAACATAGTGCAACGATATCGTAGCATCGGACAGCAGTGCATGGCATCAACCGCCAGATCATGACACCGTAGCAGCGCACAGCATATATGTAATGTCATAGCATAGCGTAGCACGGCATCATGCAGCATGGCATGGCACTGCATATCAAGCAATTGGATAGTTGCTCGTGCCTTAGCATCGCATCTTGATGCACTGCGCAGCGACACATAGCATGTGTGGCATAGTCAAGCATGCCATATTGTAGTACTTCATCGAATGTAAAATCGTGCCACCACGCCGTAGTATTGAATTTCGTGGAGCGTGCTACGTCGTTATACGGCACGGAATTGCATCGCCGAAAGTGAGGTGACACAGCAACCTGCTTCACATCATTGCAACACGTTGCACAGCATAGCGTAGCATTGCAAAGCAGAACGCTGACTTGCATAACATAGCAGCGGATATATCATTACATCGTATAGCCTGGCATAAAGCACACATAGCTCGTAATACGCAAATTATAGCATATCATAATGCATCGAGTTCTCTTGCATATCAACGCAAGTCATAGCAGCACATGGAGTATCATGGCAAATCATTGCGTTCCGTGGCGTCGCGGTGCATACGAGAGCGTGGCATACAATGGCACATCACAGCGTCGTAAAGCGTTGAACCCCACAGCACAGCATCGACCTGCACAGCACAAGGCTGCGCGGCGGAGCACGTCACCGCACTGCACTGCAGACGAGAAGCCGGCCGAGCGAAGAGAGCAGCCCAGCGACAGACAGAGAGGCCGAGCGCCCCGAGCGACCCGAGGGGCCCCGGGGGGCCCCAGGAGCCAGCCCCCCCCCCGCCCAGCAGCCTCCCGCTCGAGTCCCGTCCCACGAGGCGAGCGCTCCGAGAGAGCTCCCACGAGCGGGCCGGGGAGCGGCCACCGGGCCACCGGCACGACAGAAAGCGGGAGCGCCCCAAGCGAAGCCTCGTTGCAAGAAAACGTGTGCCCAAGGAGCCCCTCCTCGTCAGCCTCGTCCTTGTCCCCCTCCTCCTCCTTCTTCTCTTCGATCCTCCTCGTCGCTCTGCCCTTCCTTCTCATCCTCTGCCTCCTCCCTGTTTATATTGTCAATGCTCCTCCTCCCCCTCCTCCTCGACCTATTCCCCTCATCTCATCGAAGCCCTCGTCGACCACATCATCATCATCATCATCATCATCATCATCATCACCACCATGAGCATCATCATCATCATCACAATCATGATCATCATCAGTCAGTCAGCCAGTCAATCAGTCAGTCATTCAGTCAGTCATCGTCGTCGTCACTATCATCACCATGATCATCATCATATCAACCTCATCGTTGTCATTGACACTATCAGAATCATTCATATCGTCATCACTGCCGCCGTCATCAACGTCATGGTCATCACCATCACCAACAACATCATCATCATCATCAACATCCTCCTCATCATCATCAGTATTATCACCACAATCATCATTGTCATTGTCATGGGCATTCGTATCATCATCATCATCATCATCATCATCATCATCATCATCATCATCATCATCATTAGCATCATCATCATCATCCTCATCATTGTCGCCGCCATTAGTATCGTCCTCATCCCCATCACCATCTACATCAACATCAACATCGTCATCATCATCAACATCACCATCATTATTAACATCAACAATCATCAATAGCAGCGTCGTTTGCACCGAAACCATCATCGTTCGCATCCTCATCATCATCGTCACCATCATCATAACCATCATCATCATCAACATTATCATCATCATCATCATCATCACCATCATCATCCGCATCACCATCAAAATTATCATCCGCACCGTTGTTGTTCATCCTCCTCTTCCTCCTCATCATCCTCCGCATCATGATCATAATTAACATCATCACCATCATCATAACCATCATCATCATCATCAACATGGTCGTCGTCGTCATCGTCATCATGATCCTTGCCGTGATCATCCTCAGCATCATCATCAGCATCAACATTAACACCATCACCATCATCAGTATCAACAACAGCAACAGCATCAGCATCAGCAGCATCAGCATCAACATCAACATCATCACCACCATCACCATTGCCATCAGCATCATCAACATCATGATCATCATCCTCATGCTGATCATCATCATCATCATCAGCAGCAGCATCATCATAAGCATCATCTCCGTCATCATCATCGTCATCATCACCATCATCATCCGCATCATCATCATTATCATCATCATCACCACCATCATCACCACCACCATAATCGCAATCATCATCAGCATTAACATCTCCACCACAATTACAATCACCATCATCATCATGATCTTCATCATCATCATCATCATCATCATCATCATCATCATCATCATCATTAGCATCATCACTACCATCATCACCATCATCCGCATCATGATTAGTGCTATCTTCATCATCATCATCACTATCATCGTCATCACCATCACCATCACCACCATCATAATCAACATAACCATGATCGTCATAATCAGCATCTTCATCAGTATCTTCATCAGCAGCATCATCATCGTCACCACCATCATCATCATTATCAGCATCGACATCAGCATCGTCATCGTCATCGTTGTCGTCGCCGTCATCATAGCGAGACCCTATGCGTGTCATGCGGGCTCTTCGTGCTTGGCGGCGACTGGAACGACGAGGCCCCCACGCTCCACGAGGCGGCGGGATGGCGGCTTCAACCCGTCGATTGCGTCATGGGCTCGGGAGACTCCGACATCGAGAAGAGCTATCAAAACGATACGCCTACCTACTACTTCTCGCGCACCGTAGATGACGAGGCCTGGCCAAAGGCGGTGCCTACAGATCCTCGAGCCTGACAACCCCTACCCGCCGAAGGTGAGCACGTGGGCCAGCTTGGTACGCAGGGCTCACTTGAGGGACGCACACGCTCAGATCGCTCGTACACGCGGGTGGATGACCGCTTTCTCTCACGTGCTGCATGGGCGGTCGGGGCCATAGCCCCAGATTAGGCATGTCGCCCCCCCTCGTTTCGTGCTCCGATGTGGTCCACAGATTGCGGGCGTGGTGGAGCTCCTGGCAGTACGATGCGGTCTGCGAGACGCCGCCGAGTCCGAGTCGAGCGGCATCGTCTCGTGGACCGACTCCTGGATGGTCACAGCTAGCTGGCACTCAGGGAGGTAGGTAAGCCTTGTTCTTGTAGATGGAGAGTATTGAAATGCCCACGTCGTCCATGCCGTCCCGGACAATGACAATGGGCCCGTTGCGGGCGCTACAACTTGTCCAAGCGTAGGCATGTAGGCCGCGCCGCGCGCACACCGATGACCGCCTCGACGAGAACCTGTGGCAACGCAAGCGCGACGAGGACAGCATCGCGAGGACCGCCGCCGAGCTGCACCCGAGGGGCCCAGCCGTCATCGACGTGACCGATCCCACCGAGAGCGTCATCCCACACCGGCGGGGGACGGATGGGCGTGGAGGCGCAGGGGGGCCCTCGCCCGCCTCACCGCTCCCGAGGGCCAGGACGCGCAGGACACCCACGCGAGCAGCGCCAGCACTGCTGCAGCATGGCGACGCGAGGCGCCGCGAGGTGCCGCGAGGTCGGCTGCCAGGGAGGCGAACGCCTCGCCCACGACCGCCACGGAACCGCCGCTGATGAAGGGGCCCTGGGACACACAAATAAATACACACAAATAAAATATTCCCTATATTTTCCTATATTTTCTGGGTTTTCGTCTTCCCCGCCACTTCCCATAGTTTCCCATATTTTCTGGGGGAACGACGATTAATTGTGTCTGTGTTTTTTTTTCCCTCCTGAGCTGAGGCTGGGCCCGAGGCTGCGCCCGCGGATGCCGCAGCCGGCCAGCCACCCAGGCCAGGCCGCCGGGCGGCCCCGGCGTGGGCGCCGTGCCCTGCCCGCCGCGGGGAGCGGCCCCGCACGAGGCCGGCCGCGGCATGAGCCGGGCCGCCCGCGGCCGCGGTTCGCGAGGCCAGTGCGGCGGAGGCCGCCCGGCCCCCGCCCGTGGAGCCCGCCGCGCCCCGCCCGCCGAGGCGGGGCCGCCGGCTCCATGACCTCGCCATCGCTCGGACGTCCATTCCTCCTGTATTTTTCGATTTCGTGCGTGTTTTTTTTTCGCCAAATGATCAACGATGGCCCTCGATGGCCGTCGCCGAAGAAAAAATGCACACGTCCGAGCGATGCCAAGTGACCCGCACACGCTCTGCACTGCCCCAGGCACGAGAAGGTCGCCTTCTGCTGGCGCTGTGGGGCGAGGGCAGCTTCGTCCAGGCCAGCGGGGCTCGACGTCGAGTGCTCGCGCAGGGCCAGGAACAGCAGGATGGCCATGTTACTGGGGCGGCTTAGAGGTGGACAACAGCCGACCTCGAGCAGCCCGCGGCAGGAGGCGACCCGCTCGCGCCGCTGATGCTCTGACCGAGGCGCTCACTTGTGCGGGCGCCGCTGGGGCGACCAGAGCTCCGGCCGTTGGTCCAGACCGCAGCTCGCCCTCCTCTTCCTGCCTCGGCCCACGCCTGGCGTGGCGGCCTTGGAGCAGTGCATCGCTCGCCCCCTCGTGAGCCTTTGGGGGCCTTGTCCCTCCCCGTCCGTCTCCGCTGGGTGGCGTCGGGGGGCCTCTGCGAGCGGGCCGCGCCCCTCGCACTTCCTGGGGGCCCGCCTGCGGGCCCCGGGAAATCCTTGGCCCAGTTCATCTGGCCGCGGCGTCTCGTCGCACCTCTTCCCCTCCTCCTCCTCCTCCTCCCCTCCTCCTCCT